TAGTAAGGCAAAGTCTATTCAGCTTTGAACGGCAAAAACAGCGAAAAGCGCAAAGCTCCTAACTAGCTGAATAAATCTTAAAGTAATTGCGAGTATTGTTTGATACGCTTAGAAGGTGAGGAAAATAAGAGCTATCTGAGAGTTTAGAGCGTTCTAGCCGTTTTTAGCTACAGAATGTCAATCGGCTAAATAAGATTTATTATAGAAAAAATAGTCTTTCCAAAGCTACTTACGAGATGAAGTGTGTGGTGAAAAACAAGCTCAGCCTCATATTATTAAACATGTACGCATAAGAACAGACTGAGGACATTGAATTGTATTTGCTGTAATTGGCTTTAAAAAATTATGTCGACAAAAGCATCTGAATCCACTTTCACTTGTAAGACAAAGGAATTATCAAAAACTTGCTAAATCTCATTTCAAAAGTATTAGAACTCTTCCCTCACTTAAAAAAGCAGGATGAACTTTAAGAAGGTTATGGAATTATGATCATAGGTTCTACTACATTACTCATGAAAATCCTATGATGTTGCAAACTTAAAATATGCAGTGAAAATCAAAAAGGTTCCTCACAGAGCAATCACTACAAATAGATCAAGTTCGATTCAAAGACAAGACTAAAGGTTTTAACATGAAACTCTACTCCTGTATTCTATTTTATCTAATTTTTATTCGCACTGCTCTTTTTGCAAAACTAGATTTTCATTTTACCACTTGTTGGATGGTTATTTTCGTGACTGCAGCGTGAAGGAGAGCCATTAAGATTGTTTCGAGTAAACATGAGCACGTGGCTGTGGAAACAATATGAAGCACAACTTTTAATAGACTACAGTAGTATTCACGTTGTTGTTGCGTTCAGAACTTCAGTTAAATCAAGCGTTTTTTATCTCTTTATCAAAAATAAGGCTACAATCACAAGAGAGTATTGTTTGATGTTAGTAATTGTGTTATCGCTCCTTCCATATCAGCAGCAATATTGTGCGCTACGATTGGGCGCAACACATGAATTGCAGTTTAGCAAAATACGAACGGAAGTCAAACGTTGCTGCCAAAAATTCAGGAGGAGATAACTTTACTGTTTAGTCTGCTTTGGATTTCTAGTTTCAAAACGTTTTCGCTCGTTAACTCAAGCTCATCTTGAATTGAAAGTAGTTGATGAGGGTTTATTACTTTGGCAACTAAAGCAACCCTTCGCAATTCGCTAAAAAATGTGATAAACGTGTATTTTTCAACAAGACAATTTCAGAACGTACTCTACGGGAAACGATTATGTCGCACCCCAAAGAAAACTTTCTCGGCTCAAAGCTTCTTTTCCCATTCAACAAGTAGAGCAGTAAACAGAGCAATGAACGGTTTGCACTTTCAAAATGGCCAATTCATCTTTTATCCAAATTGAGAGAAGGAAGAGCTAGGCGCGCTTCAACTGCAACACTACAGTCAGCTCAAAGTGCAGCACTCCAATAAAAACCCAAAATCACTAATAGAAATATGAGTCAAAATATCTCTCCCCTCAATGAGTTGATAGAGTACTACCATCGATTTCGTGTGACTAAGTGTTATCTATTAATTTTGTTTGTATGCCGAGCAACAAACGCATGCACGTCGATAGAACGAAGATCACCTGGGACTTTGGAAATGATGTCGAATTCTCGGGTCGAACGCAATGCCAAGGCAGTAACATGTGATTGGAAATATGATAACAGTCATTAACTATTTTAATGCAAGAATTTCGCCTACACTCAGATGTAAAAAGTTGACCTCAATAAACATCTTGTGCTATTTTTCTGTCGAGATTGATGAGCAAATCGGTTATCGCGAAGTTTCGGAGACTTACAACTCATTTTTTTTCATTAAGAAAGGGCAGAAAAATGAAAATGAACCCACAG